TGTCACAGGATTTCAACTGTGTTTCATTTTGAACTATTTATCTTAATAAATACTACATTTAAGAAACATAATCCTGGAATACCAATTGCACTCTAAGCAGAACTAAGTCTTCATGTTTGGTTGAATAAAAGATGGGGTGGAGAAAAATGCAAGTGTTTTATGTATTTGCCTGTCTCCGTTTGGAGAAACTTCTTAAATTATCAAATGTTAATCTGAGAGTGGTGCTTCAGGAAGTGTGCTAAAAACCTACAGCAATAATTTTTCTGGTACGATGCCCACATTTATGGGTTCTTTACTTACTGGGTACTTTCTCTTAACGATCGAATTTAGTAGGTCCTTCAAGTTTGGACAAGATATTTCAAACTCAGAGTGTCATAATAAGTAATTTGTGGAATGGGTGTTTTGTCTCAGATTCATATTAAAATCCACATGTAAACTTTCTGCCACATTTTTATTAGTGCATACTGGTTACATAGATTGATGGGTTTCAGCTTACTCATTCGTGAGTCTCCCACCCATCACCCCCCTTCCCCGTCTCAGCTTCCTCTGCAATTTCACATTTTGGGAGGAGGAGGCGAATGAGTGTAATGCACTTTGATAATACGAATGCAGACCCATACACTCTATTCTTCCCCATTCTTCTTTCCTCTTGCCTAATAAGTCTCCCTTCAACATTCTTGTTGTCTTTTTTAGGTCTCACTTTTACATAGTTGTACCCTAAAAAAGAACTAATGTTTTCTCAAAATTTTAGTACTTACAACCAAATAATTCTACAAAATAAATAATCATAATATCAAGTGATCACATAATATCACACACAAAGCACTGCTTTTAAAGATACTCTTTTCTACCACTGAGAGCTGGAAAAATACATCAAGCGTCAAGTTCACAAGTAGCTGCTATAACCAGAGTGCGATTGCGGCTGTGGGAAATAAATCATATTGAAGGGAGCCAGTTAAATGAAAGGCAGATTGCTTGTCACTGCTTCACTTCTTATTTTGCTTCCTGTGACTTTTATCCCACACACATTCTAATTCATCACAGTTCTAACCCCACAAAATGTTTATAAGACTGTTCAACTTGGTTCTAGATATTCTTCATTTTTAAACTACTTGTACTACTAAGTTTTATAAAAGCAATTATTATTTGCTTTTTTTTTTTTTTTTTTTGTGGAAGGGTCAGGCTGGCCTTGAACTCATTATGTAGCCCAGGTTGGCTTCAGACTCATGGTGATCGTCCAGTCTTAACCTTACAAGTTCTGGGATTGCAAGCATGTGCTATCATGCCTAGGCAAAGCATATACATTTAAACATCCTTATAATATAGGTGAACCCTTTGTGTTTTTAGTCTTAAATGTTTTATTTACAGTGAACTCCAACCTCATAAAGGGTCTTAAATCTAAAATTTAGCTTATTAGGCAAGCCAAAATTATCCTTCAAAGTTCTCCCAATCAGACTTAATTAACAGAACCTAGAGCTTCACATAAAAGCTAACAATGTTCTTTTGTTTCTCTTGAATTTTTGACTATCATTTCCCTTTTCTATCAATGGAAGCTAAGGTGTATTTATAGTATGGGAAAGAAAGATATTGTGTAGAGATAAATAATGCAATCTCTTTTCCCTGTTGTCAACTCTGGTCTGGAAATGGGTATGAAAATGCTACCATGTATGTACTCCTGGACCTGTGTCTCTTCTTTTAACTGTACATATAAAATGCAGTAACACAGATGACTATGTTACTGTCTTACTTGAATTAAAAATTATATATGAAGATAAATATATATAGGTAAAATGGAGAGAAAATAGTACTCAAAGAGAACAGTGTGCAACATCTTGTGGAAGGAAAGAAAGTGGAAAGTAATAAAAATTAATGTGAAAAGAGATCAGAAAGTAAGAAGCAGGAATTTAAGTGATCCATTCATCTGTGGATATCATAGAACAAGCAATAGCATCCGAAAACTTTGCATATCTGAATACAAACCCCTCCTTGTCCGATCTCACTGTACCACACTTAGGGATTTATTTGGTGAACAGTGAACCTGAGTAGAAGTTTTTCTCTTCATTTCATTATCTTATTTCTACTGCCCCATAGACGACAGGCTGAAATAGCCTGTGGAGCTAGACTTCTCCTCTGGGCGCATCTACTTTAGACACTTGATTAAATGTGCTTTTGTGAATGTGTACTTTGAAATTCGCAGAAACCTGTGGTTGACATCATTCTATTCTTTTTGAACATGCCCAAATTTATATAATCTATTGCAAATTACTGAATTTCTTTTGATTTTATAATTGTTTCCCTGAATGATTTCTTAAAAATGAATGACTATGTACTGAATATACAGTACAGTCCCCAAGACAACGGACTGAATTGGTTCTAAATTATGAGCTAATTTCCCATAACCTAAACTACTGCTTCCTCTTTAAACCTATGGCTCTATGCACCTAGGCAGGCAACTTCTCCACTTATCAGCTTCTTTGCTCATATTCTGCTGGTTTTTCTCAATAAGGCATATATCGATGAACACACTGGAAAAAAGATAAGCAGACTAGGTATTAATGTGCATGCAGCAATGAATACAGAATCAGAGGACAAGAGCTGTTACATAATTCCTGTCTCATGCAACTGAAAACCAATTTACTTAATTGCTTGTGCTTAAGGGCAATGTCATCTTGTAAGGCTTACTGTTTTATGCTGATGGGAGAATATTAAGTTACTAATGGCACCAGTCAATAAAAAAAAAAAAAAATTCATAGGCCATGAACCAGCATGTGAGGAAAGAACAGAATTGCCAAATGATGGCATTAATTGATGAAATTTCATGTTTCAGACACTTGACTCTTTACAGAGATGACTTTATGCCTTCGGTACAACCATCAGTGCTGGGTAAATGAGGAAAGTTAAATTATATTATTAACTCAAATGTTCTTAACTACAATTTCCTCTTACAGAAAGCAGCAATCTAGTTCAACCTTTGAGTGTTTCTTTGTAGCTGTGTAAAACATAATATAAGCAAAGGACTCTGGATTTTCAGTTCTTCCACATGCACTTATTTAGCATTAACTAAGACAGAGGGCCTGGTCTTAGATAAAGACCAACATCAAGGCTGGGGATTTAACTCAGCGGTGTAAACACCTGCCTGACAAGTTTGATCCCCAGTCAAAAAAAACCAAACAAACAAACAAAAAAAAAAAAACCACCCAATATCATTGAAATTCAGCTGACAAACCACAAATGTAACTAGCTAAATTATATGTAATATTTCAAATTGACTTATTCAAAAATTAAAGTAAAAGAGAAGATTGGGTTTAGGGGAAGAGTCTTGTCTATATTGTTTTACAGGTTCTTATGAAAGTTAGATGTGAGGCTTTTGTTTGTGTCAAGGCTCCCACCAAAGAAAGAAGAAATTGCAAAAGATCCTAAGTATGGAGTACACTGAAGGTGAGAATATAGACATGTGCTTTCTGTTGTGATGGAAGAAACTAGTGACAATTCCAAGGGCCGACACTTAAAACGACAGTAAAAGAAATGCTAAGGGTTTGCAGCAACTGATAATGTTTTTCAAAACCTTGAATCAGCTTTAAAAATTAGAAAATTAGTAGTTGAAATTTTACTTTGTATTAATTTTTTTCTTTTTTCTATATTGATTTCTTAGGATAATAATAAAAATGCACCACAAATCAAGTGGCTTTGAACAACAGACATGTGTCCTCTCATGGCTCAAAGTCTGAAATGAAGGTGCTGGAGGCACCATGTCCCTTTCAGACTCTGTAGTGGGTCTCTCCTTGCCTCTTCCAGTTTCTGGGGAGCCCCCATTCCTTGGCACATTACCTCCAGTCTCTGCTACCACTACCACATGGCCTTGTCTGGCTCTGCATCCACACCTGGTATCTACTCTGTGTGTATTTGGGTCCAAACTGCCATCTTTCTAAAACATACCATTATGTCAGGTTGGGGCCAAACCAACTTAGGACAATTTCATCTTAATTTACTTCATTACTTCTGTAATAATCTATTTCCAAATAAGATCACATTCTCAGGTACTGGGCACAAGTACTAAAACAAATCTTCTGAGATACATTCTTAAATCTACACTAGATAGCAGCCTTTTGATTTGTACATAATCCTAATATTTTAATATGCCAATGGATACTTAAACATATTCTTAATAATAAGCCTTGTCAAATTAATATAGTTGAGTTGACCATTACATGTTTTACTGATATCTATGTGTTAATATCTAAGGATGAAAGCCAAATGTGACGTAGTTTCAAACAGAATCAAATTATCACTGAGTCAGTGCAGCATGTGTGCAAAGAAGGTTGGCCTTGCTTGTCTGAATTTACAGATAAGAAACCAGCTAGGGGTCTCACTGTCAGACTCAGTGACTCATCAGCAATGGGTGACTCCCTAACCTTTCTCCAAATGCTAACTTTTCCTTAGAGCCCGCAGTGTTTTTTTGTTTTTTTGTTTTTTTTTTTTCTCCCTGAAACAGACCTCCACAAACCAGGAAAAACAATGAATTATTGGAGAGCATTTGTAGAGCAAAGCTTGAAGTCCCACCACTAATTAGCTGAGTGACTCTGAGAAAGTATACTTTTCGAGTCTTCAAATTTTCAACCTGTAAAAGGATTGGTCTTAAGATTAATGTCCAGTGCAACTGTAAAAGTACTTAGTAAATACAACTTACCTGCAACTTCATCATAAAGATGACTTTCTGCAATTAAACAATTGTATACCAGTGGTATACAACAAAATATCTGCAGAATAACATTTAACATAAATGCAATATGCACCAACTTTAATTAAAATTACACACTGAAGTAAATGTGCTTGATTTGTAGTAATTACAAACATAAAATTAGAACAAAATAGAATTGAGAAACAGCATTCTATCATTTAGAAACATCTCTGGAGTACTGCCAATGTTCCAGGTGTTTTTTCAGGGGCAACATGTCATAGACGCATGTAATATGAAATGTATGAAAAATGCCACTACTTACCCCACCAACTTTCTCAAAGTGGGATCCATCTTTCTTAAAATCCGTGAGGGCCCCATTGAAGTACCAGGTAAACATAATGTCTAACAAAGGGTCATGTTTCACCTGGCAGGGCAAAATGATACTTTCACCCACCGAGACATCCATATTAGAAGGGGCCAAAGTTATTCTCGTAGGTTCTATTAGGAAAACAATTTGTCAGTAAAATGTTAGCATTTTTATCATACTGAAAACAACTGGTACAGGAAAACTGTCAGCTGACTTACTGTGTGTATGTCTGCATATGTACAGATGTACACATACGTCTACGTAACAGAAAGTCTTCAAGATCAAAATGTACTTATTTTCAAGCAAAGATATACTATATTTTACTAGATCTACAAATCTGTGTTAAGAAATTAGCATATCTGAGTTCACAGAATATTAAAGTTTAGAAATTAAAGTCATCTATAAACAGTTATAATAATACTGACAGAATGAATTTCAACTTAGTTTCAGTATTTCATGAAATATAGGGGTAGAAACAGAAACAACTGTGTTTTTTGCCAAATTTCACTGACTGAGAATAGTATTAGCATCAAAGTTTAAATACACTCAACTCTTTCATCTTTGCATGAATTTGAAAAGCTCTGTAATGATATTACGAATAGGGACAATGAAAGGGACACTTCATTATTGTTAATTAATGCATTTGTCTCAAAATAAATGTCCACATGCACATCTTTTTCCCTGTCATCGCAGACTTTCCATCTCTTGTGAATTCCACTTCCTTTGACCCTAATTTTCCATTTTTCTTCCCCAAGTCTTAGCATTACATGGCAGCAAAAGTCTTCAAAGAGTCATTTGTAGATTTGGTCTGTATACACTTCTTTCAAGTTATCTATGGAATCTACTCCAGTCAGGCGTTTGTCCTCATCAAGGTCCCTGATGCAATAGCCAGTGACAAATTTTTGTTCTTATATTACTGGATTTCTCAGCTGTATCTGCTATCCTTGATCACTGTCTTCTCCCCATTGTGCTTCCATCTCTTGGTTTCTGTGATCTTAAGTTTTTTTTTTTTTTTCCACCATGCTGTGAAATCTTTTCGTGTCTATCTTTATGCCAAATTTCCAACTTTTGTTCCCATATTTCTTAACTCAGAACGTGTGCAGAGTTCTGCTTTCATTTTTAAAATGTCCTGTCTTTATGCATTCTTCTTGTGATTTGAGCTGGTGTCTCAGTTTCAAGTACTCCTCTATAAGCCAATAACTAACATGTGCACTGTCCTTGAGCACTCTTCCTATACCAAGTTTTTATATTCCACTACCTACCCAGCATCTCCACATGGGTGTCAATCATCACGTCTTTCTTTAGGGTGCATAGTAGGATTAAATTTTTATCAATTTTAATTCAACTATAGCCCTAAGCTGTGCTATGGCTGATGAAGTAGGAGTTACATGTGGCACTGAAAGGCTAAAGTCTAGAACTATTAGGGAACTTAATATTCTGTCTTTACCATTCTGTGGTAATGGGCAATGGGGCACATGGTGGAGAAAATAGATTCCCTTATTCCTAGGAAGAGAACACAACTGAAACACCATGGACCTGTCATAGGAGCAAAAAATGAAGCTCTGCTATTTTAATACATGGAGATCTGGCAAATCTACAATCTGCTTCACAAACCGCCCATAAGCATCTCACATTCAATGCCCCCAAAGTCATGATCTTCTTCCTCTCAATGCTATTTAACCATCAGCGGGTGCTATCACAACTGTTTTGACTGTCAATTCTTCCTGTTGCTCACCTGCAGGCAGTCTGGAACCCTCTCTTACTCTGGACCTCACATCTAATTTCAATATCTCCTGCAGACTCAGGTTATATCCAGAATCTAATTCCACCAATCATTTCTGTGGCTGCTAATCCCATCTGAGTCATGATTACCTTCTTCCTGGTTTGCAGCCATGGCTCTGAGAACGTCTGTGTCTCCACCCTTCCTGCCCCAGTGTTCTCAACACAGCAGCTTATCATTCTTGTATAAATGTCATTCCCATGACCTCATTTCTTCCCTAAAAGCTGTCCCTTGCCTCCGCTTTTCAATTCGACTGAAAGCTGAAGTTTTAAAAAGGTCTCCCTAGTGTTTAAATAATTGTCCCCAGGAAATCTGTTACTTTTCACCTTCGTCTGCCTAAAAACTTTGTCCCAATTTCCCCTCAGCAAGATCTATTCTGAACACTCTATTTCATGCTTCTCCTTTCAATATACACTCTTTACTTTCTCAATTGTTTGCATTCTTTTCTTCTAATAATCTCCTTGTTTCTTATTTTTATTGCTTATTTTCTTTCTAGCTGGGGTACAGTTTAAGAGCTATGAGCCCAGTACCTTTGTAGATCTTCTCACTCGTACAGTTCAAATACTTGTCACACAATAGATGCTCACTTTTTTTCTCATATGATATGAAGAAATGCATCAGCAACTGTAAGCAGTTCTTTTCATGAACTTGAACACCACCAGCAAAAGCCAATTACAATGGGAAAAAAACCCTGTGCCTGAAATATGTGGCCTAACAGAACAGCATAAAATAAAAAGAGAGTATAGTAATGAATGCGTCTTCCCATGTACACTATATTGTGTGAAACAAACACTAAGTAATGTACTCTACAAAAATAATAGAAGAAAAATCCATAGATTCTACTACACGGAGTGCTGCATATTTTGAAAAACCTGTGTTCAACATACTTGGTCAGCATATGATGTGATGCAGTGCAACCCTACTTCATGCAGTCTGGGGGATACCCACCCACCTGTAACCACCAGGAGTGTTGTGCCATTGGCTTTTCCAAACTGGTTTTCTGCTGTGCAGGTGTAGGTTCCAGAATCAGCTTTGGTCACATTGGCTATTTTCAGTCCTCCATCTTTTAGAAAAGAAACTCTAAAACAAATAGAAATTAGACTGATAAATGCACAATGATCATTCTTTCCAAGTAAAGAGGGTTTTTTTTTTTTAAATGTAATGTGTTGTACTAAGCTATTTAAGTATGACTCACAAGTCCACTTTAGTGAAGAAACATGCTCTTGTCCATCTTAATTTTGCAAGATATTTTTATGTGGCATTACTTAACGGTATTACTCAAGATTATGTATAATTTTGGTAATGACTTTATTAAATAAGTGTGAAGTATTTTCCAGAAATAAATCTTGTGATAGATTACTCATGGATTTGTCTCTTAAATTTGTATGTAAAAAAGGGTAAGAATGACATTAATTTCCTAACTTTTAAAACAGAACACTTGCGTGTATCTCATTATGAATTTAAAAAACCACAATTGATTCTACAGTTTAGATTTTGCAAAAATAACAATAAAAGCAAAAACAGTTGCATATCCAGCTGTGAACTACTGCAAATAATCAGCACAACACACTGAACATTACTTTAGGGTGTCTAAGCACACAGTTACAGAATTCTTACAGCATTAGCATTTATTATTTGCTCAAGGAAACATAAACAAAATCTTATATGTGACAGACATTTGGAGAGTACCTGGGATTACAGTGTGAGCAAACTTGAAAGTCTCTACCACTGTAGAAAAATATTCTAATAAAAAGCACAGTTACTAAATAAGCAAACGTGAAAAATTCAGTTTTGAGAAATAATCTGAAGGAGATACAAAGGGCAACAGAACAACTGGTTTCAGAAAAGATGAGAGTGAAAAATGTCATTAGTACTCTGAGTTTATGTATCAGAATTTACAAATTATGCATATATATATGTGTATATATATGTGTATATATATATATATATATATGTATATATATATATATATATATATATATATATATATATATTCCTTTACTAACCTTTCACATGCTTTCACTTGCATCCTGTTACATTTTCTTGAGTGAAAAAGTTACGGGGGGAACAGGGCTGGCACACAGGGACCTGTCATAGTTTTGGGTAGAGCTGTCAATGAAAGCTTTCTAACTATGTGATATTTTCTTGCCACGTCAGGGTAGGATTAAACCATAAGGATTTGGGAACAATGAACCTAGCCAGCTTAACAAGAAATATGAGCACTGTTTTTCAACTTGGGGAATTACATGGAAAATTTAAGCATCTAAGGACTTTTCCTAGGAATCTTTAAAATATATTTTATTCCTGATTTCTTCATAGATTCTTGCACAGTGCCTGGAATAGAGTAGACATTCAAAAATCGTATCTGTTGAATGAATAAATGACTCCATGCTAGTGGTGGCAAACTTAGTACAAAACTTTTTGTATCACTGCAAGCTCTAAACAGTCTGCCATCATTGTTTTATGCCTTTAGAGAGCCACTGTAGAAGACTTGAAGAAAGCCAGGCTATAAGACACAGAAGACTGACAAATTAAAAAAACATACATTAAAAGTGTTAAGATGATTATACATGCATATACATATATGTAACATGCATACATCCATTTATTACACATGTTCTCATATATATATATATAGTCATTCCTTGGAATCTTAGAGTGTTAGTTCTTGGGCTTTCCAATGAATATCATAGACACCACATCTGTTATATAAAATGTGATTTTTGCATACAGTCTCCACACAACTTGTCATACACTTAATTCATCACTAGACTACTAATATCCAACAGAAAAACAATGATATATAAATAGTTATAATACTCTTTTAAGGTATAAGAAGCATGTACATATTTGGAACAGTTATAATTTCTTAAATGTATTATAATTTATATTTTTATAGTTTATACAATAAGAAAATTTTTCTGAAACCTGTCTTGGAAATACTTCATAAAGCAATTACTTTCTATTGTATAACCCATTTTATGCCCTTCAGATTATTTCTCAAAACTGAGTTTTCTTATATTCTATATATTTCTTATTTATTGTCTTACTTGAATATTATTTGTGCAACAGTGGAGACTTTCTATGTTGCTCTCTCTATGACCCAGGGAGCTCTCCAAGGGCCTATCACTTATGAGGCATTCATTTATATTTCCTTAATCAAATACTAGATGCTAGAGATTTAAGTAGACTGTTTGCTTACAAGCCCTGAAGTAGAGTGAGTTGTGCAATCTTTACACAGCTCTGCAATAGCAGAACATGCAAATGCTATTGTTTGCCAGGAGAGAAACCACTGGGTAATGTAGTACCAACATTCATTGTCCCTAATTTACAACACATATAATTTTAAAGATTTTTTTCCTCTTCTCACAATCCAAAAATATATTAAAAATGACTACAGCCTCTTGAGGTACAGATGAACTACTTTTCTTTTAGCACACTTCACAAGAATATTTGTTTCACCTGCATGATTTTTACCAGGCTGCCGTGAAACTTATTTCAGATGCACACTTAGCATCAAGTGTGCAGCACAGAGAAGGCGCTCAGGTGAGGAATCAGATGCTGAAATAAGCAAAGGGACTAGAATGAGAATTTATAGCATCTTGTTAGAAATGTGGTGGCTCAGCAGAACCTGTGTCTGAACACATGATGGTTGTCTTTCTGCCTGGAAGAGGTACAACAATAGTCACACTGACACGTAAAAGTCATAAGGAGGCGTTAGAGATAGGCAGTTAAGAAGAAAGAAACATTAATTATGAAGAGAAACAAAATGTATCACAAATAAGCAGATAAATAGTGATGGGTTCCTACTCAGTCTTAGGAGCTAAAGTTGATGCTGCTGAACAATACGAAGAATATCTCCTCTCAATCAATAGCATGTCTCACAACCAATTTGACTGTTAATCCCTTTACTAAAATTTTAGAGTATGACACCCAAAAAGAGTAGTACTTAACTCTTAGCAGCCCTCAACAAATTTTATTTATAAAGAGAAAATGCAGATTTTTCTTGAAATTTAAATATATAAAGACAGAAAGTTAGTAGGTGTTATCAGAAGTTTGTGACGATTTTTAAATGATGAGCTAAACTCAACTGTGCTGAGTTATATAGAGTAGACATAGCATTGGAAGCACCAGGAAGCTGAAATTCACCACTTTTGAGATTAGTAATCCTTAAAACAAATTGAAGATACCTCTTGTTGACTGAACACATGTCGAGTTTAACTATAGAGCTTCTGATTTTGGCAACACAAAACAGACATATTTTCAGTTATTTTCTCATGCTGTGAATTAGTATATTTCTACTACAAACATAGAAATATTTGGAATAACAGAAGAATGAAAAACATTCTGGTATGTTAGCTTCTGTATTTTTCATGAAACAAACCTGGCTTCATGACCATAGTGAAATGAGGAACTATTTCAAACGTAAAGACTAACATTATAGAAATCACATAGTACTCCAAAACAAACATATTGACTCTCAAAGAATGCAAACTCTGTGTGTATCATAAAATTTTGAGCTAATTGGATATTTTCTTCCTAAATTGGTTCTTCCAGTAAGTCCTAAGAGGCCCACAGGGCATTTCACACAACATAAAAATAAACAATATTCAGTAAATGGATGGAGTAATTGTTTCTCAACAGAAAACCTTCAATAACCCAGGCCTCCCTACAGAGAGTCAAAGTGAAATTTTTATACCACTTCACTATAAATGAAATTGCTTTCTAAGCTTTCTGGGAACTGGATTTTCTGCAAATAAATAGAGCTGAAAATGTAGATAACAATGAGTGGCTCTAGTCTTGGCACAGAAATATTAAACGAAGATTTATGAGATGAACCTTCGAAAATGTAGTACTCTAGTTTGCATTGAAAGGTGTGCATTTTAAATCACTGTGGCATTTTAACTTGCTGATCAGTTTTATAATATACCTTTACACGTACCTTTTTATTGCTCTTTCCTTGTGTACTAAGAGGTTAATTATTTCACTTAACTGTGCAGTCCATGGTTAGTTTGGAATAAGTCAACATAATTGCTTTAAGCTGCTCTAATGGTCCATGCTGTAATTCAATGATGGCAGGGATTTCATGACTTTTAAAAAACCTTGTTTGCTTAGAAAGTGTACTGTTGTCTAGGCAACATTGACCTGTATTTTCTGATGACATTTAAGCATCCATAATAACACAGCTAGGTTTTAGAATGGAAAACTGTCAAATATTTTGCATGAAAAACAACATTTCTGAAAATATTGTTTTTCCCCTGACTATGTTCTGAATATTACAGTAATTTATTCAACTTGAAGGTTAGTAAATGCAGTGGAACTCTACATTTCCTCAGAAAGCACATCTCAGTAGAGATGAGATCACACGGGATCACAATGATTAAACTGCTGTATGGAAAATAACAAGGCTATTTTAGATGGCACTTTCTGAGTGCATACTCTAAGAGATGGATGCTTACAATTAGTTGTACAAGAAAAGTATTCACAATGCATATATTACAGGATAAATAATGAGAGTTAAGAAAAGCAAATATATATTGATGAAAATTCATGAGAAAATAAATGTCAAGGAAAAAACGCAAAACACTGTAGGTTATTTACAACTGCTCTCACCCCCACAAGCTCAGCAATAAAACTGCTCCCCCTTGAGTTCAAACATAACCTGCTGACAGTATTTAGGAAAATATTATCAAACTTTTCATTCCTTTGGCTATACTATTTCTGACATTCATCTTGTAAAGCCAACTGTATTGGCTTAGTGATTTATCTGGCGGGAAATCTCCCAAGCAAAAAGCAAAAGAATGGGAGAGATTTAACGGTTCATTATCCCACCTTAAAGTAAGCAACAGGCTAATCATAAGAGGCTGTGTTAATCTGCTGGACACACACTCCATGAAGAGGACACCAGAGCTCTAGAAAGGAACTCGTTTGGCTCCTTTGGATACTCTAGAGAAATGCACTTACTTCAGACCAATTAACACGTCTTCATATTCATAAGGAAACGACTGAAAGTAAAGGAACATTTACTTCACTTCTATTAAATCATGCTATATTATCATGACATACACATTTGGAGTTAA